AAAAATTCTCAAAACCCCAAAGTTATTTTAAGTTTGAATTATCGACGAGAAAAAAGATATTTAAACTGCTTGACAGAATGCCTATAACATCTTTTTCTTTTTTTTTTTATTGCTTCTATTCTGCTTGTCAGTAAACCATAAGAAACGTTCAAAAAAAAAATAGAGAATTCCATTGTAACGTACATACTAATTTAGAATAACCAATTTTTTTCTTAGTTCTATAATAAAAAATTTTGACGGCAAAAAAAGTTATCAAAATCAGCGTTTGCACAGCTTTTAGATTATGACTTGGAAAAAAAAAAGTAGTCAATTTTCTCAACAATAAATTATATTCAGTAATGATAAATGAGTATTTGACGAGTGTTGAACCTTTGTTCGCCAATTAAACAAAAAAAAAAAAAAAAAAAGAGAAGCCACCCAAAACGTTGTCAAATCTGCTGTTACATTCAGGGTACCGTTATGGGGATACTCAACAAAATAAGCTAAACTGTAAGATAGAACAGTTTAAGAGTTAGTGGTAAACAATGAAACTAACAAAAGAAAGCCCGACTAGCACCGGTTCTCAGATATACTTGAAATCATCGTGCAAGCAGCAAATGATATATGCCGTGCTAACAAAAGATGCATAGACAAACCCCTAAAAGTTAGTAGTTAGTAAAGCAAAACATTCACCGCAACTGTGCTATGAAAATAAACGATATATTGAGATGCAATAACATAAATATGGCAACAATTTAGCGGCGCCGATCATTATAATCCGCACCACTCGCAACAAGTTTCGAGTTTACACTCAAATCAAAAAAAGTTGATAGGTCCATCATCGCCTTGACATGTTTGTTGAATCACTGTTTGAGGTAGCTTGACAATAGTTTAAGAAATAAACCCTAAATATAAAACAAGCTGACCACTAAAATTTCCTTCGATCGTAACGACGAATGGTTTTTTTAACCTGCTAAATTCTGATTTGCTCAACGGTCAACGAAATGCTCTGAGACCCGTCAGCTGCAGCTGCGGAATAATGATGTTTATCAAAACTCCAGTAAACTTTTGGACTTAAAATATGGTAGAATGTTTTTGTTATTATTCAATTCAAAAAAAATTTTTTTCTGAAACATCAATGTAGATCTTTTTTCAAAGTATGTAAAAAGTTAATAAAACAGCAAAATTTTAGGAATAGTTTTATTAATAACTGCACTAAAACACTAAAAAGTTTCTGAATTTTCCACGCTTAAGTATTAATATTTTAAAAATAATTTTCCTCATAAGTTCTTATTCACATTCAGAAAAACACAACAAACAAAAAATTTCTCAAAAAAGAAGGTGCAAAATTGTTACAAACTATATTCGACATATGAACACTATTCATTAAATTCTACATTATTCGAAACCTTTGAAGAACAGAATGCCAAAGTGAAAGCAAATTACTGAAATTTTTTCTCTTAACACAAGTAATTTACAAAAAAGGCAATTCAAGAAACTAAAGTGCTCTACGGTTCCTTCACCTCTACTGTCACTTTATCCAAACCATCAAGAAATAGTTATTGTAACAAAGGACAGTCTCCGCTTCTATACGCTAAAGTAGAGCTGTAAAATTGTATCCCTTAAAATCGCGGCTAGTTTTAAAAATACTACTCAACGATAGTCCTCATTTCTATTGAACTCTCACCTGGACACCTGATTTTGAACCCGTGATTTTCACCAGATTATGCTCCAAATGCACTAGAAAAATGAAGCTAGTATTAAAACAATTAAAAAGTAATTTAAAAAAATTCATTTTTTAATCTTTATATTAATTGTAAGCTTATATATGTTAAAACTCAGACGGATACTAACAGAAGGCGTTGTCAGCCTTGCTTAGATTCCACAAGTGTATAAGCATCTGCCACTGCAATCGTACTGACTGTCTTCAAGATTGATATTTGACAGTTGTTACAGACAAGAAATATGCCAGATAATTATGAGCCATTTTGTCGAAAATAAGCCTCCGTTAAGTGGTTTTGACGTGTGCATTGTATACCAACCACCTTGAATGGAAAACCCTGGTTTTTCCTCTAGAAAGTTAAAAGAAGATTTTCCGCATTTGACGACAGGTTGTCAGCGATAATTATAACAATTATATGAGTAGACGAGTTTTGCTTGTCATCAACTTGTGCCAAATGGTCGGCAGAGTTGATAATAATGGTACAGCGAAAATGGTAAACATTTGTGTTCTTTAACAACACAACGAAGGAAAATATTATGAACTTTTGGAAGGATAAAAAGCCCTTTAAGAGATGTTTGTTTGGAAAGTTAATTTGAGAAGCAGAATTTTAGACAAGTTTACAGAAAATAAAAAACGACTAGCGTTACGTATAAAGAGATAAAGTTGCAGCGCGTGAAACAGATACAGATATTTGTCATAGTGAGCGACGGGATGCAACAGACCACTTAACTGACTAAGAGTCACACGGTGACAAATAAGTCCCAACTGACACCAAAAGCCGTACACAGTGGCAGTTGGTCCTACGCATTTCGAGCAACCTCGTTTACGCATTAGTTTCATTCTGAACTTACTCTTAATACAGAAAAAATTGTGCACGTTTTCTTTGAATGTCCTTTCAACTGTTCAATGTTCTAATTTGAACAATATAGTTAAGAATTTTGCGGCACTTATTCGTATAGAAACATTTCACAAAGATTAACAGTTTTTGTTTCATTCTAAAACAGTCACACTATTTGTGTTTCTACAACTATTGTTTTTTGAAGAAAAATAACTGCTTTTTGTAATGAAGTATTATTTTGAAAGAAAAACGTTCAATAAACTTTTTGTTGCAATCGTGTGCATTTATGTATTACAATCCACTGATATGAATATACAGTGAGGACTTTTTTAGCTTACTTTTTAATTTATTTGATGTACACGTAGACAACGGTAAATCCATACGCATTATTCTCATTTGACCTGCCACATACCTTAGCTAATTCACGTAATCGTTCCAAACATTGATACATGGTGAATATCTACAAGAAAAACAAATTCAAATACTGACTGACAGAAGTATTGATACACAAATACTCTAAAGCGATAGTTTAAAAATTCAAGCATAAAAACCTTTATTTTTTTCCTCTAAATGACCTTAATAAAGAATAGTTTTCTCTTCTGAGCATCAGTTCTACCGATTCTAACTGTATCACATGCCAAACCCCTACCAGCAGAAATTTACATACATACATGTATATTTATTCATTTATTTACATGATTTATACTTATATTTACATTAATCGTTTGTCCCTTTAATAACTGCTTTATATAGCCTTGCATAAAAATCTTCTTCGTGTAAGGCGAAAATCAAACTAAAAATGATAGTTTATTAGCAGCTTGCTCTGCCGGAAAGTGTACCATCACGAAAAGCAAAAGTAAAAACTTGATATGAGCGAACGGATCAACAAAGGATCAAAGCTGAAGAATGAATTTTCTCTCACAATAATTGCCAACCCGTCTTCGAAATAAAAGTCCATTTTGAAACTGTTTATTCAAAAACGATAAC